TATGGTTATTTTAGGTTAGCTCCTTGTTTCTCTTCAGCTGCTCCAGACTGGCTCATTGGAGTTAATTTATAATTAAAAACATCCTTATGGGATCCTTAAGTCACATGTTTCAATTGTGATGTATGTCATTTGACCATGTCTGTATTAGCTAAAGAGAATAAAGAAATAAACCTAAAATAACCATAAAGTGTCAGTGTGGAGCATTTGATGGAGGACCATGTGCTGTGTTTGTTTTGCTCTTGGTTTGCAAGGGATCAGAAAGGTGGAGCAGTAAATCATGGGTGAGGTAAAACAGCAGGCGGAGTGATCCGTGAAACACAACAATACCTGTACAGAAAAAACAAAGTAATGTTCATGTAACAAAATCAGTGTACTGCATGTTTCACAACTAAAAACAGGTATATCACATCTTACTTTGAACTTTTGTACTTGTCCCTGATGGCCTGCTGAGGTCGGCTCTCTGCACTGAGGTGTAGCTTGTGGAGATGAATCAGGCAGGGCATGATTTCAGCCAAGGTATAGCCAGTGAAGGAAATCAGGGAATCAGGCTAAAATATGAGAAATACAAAACTTTTTTTTTTTTAATTGAATTTTAAATAAGTAAAAAAAAAAAAAGATCACATAAAATAATCCAACGAAGTTCAGTCAGCTCATCTGGATGTTTTTTTTGTTTGTTGTTGAGATGTTTCGTCCTTCATCCAAAGGACTTCATCAGTCCAAGGAGCCACAACAAACTGTCCCACAAGCAGCAAACCAACGTAGTGGGCCAACCAAAGATGGTTTCTGGGGTCCGCCTTCTCCTCCGTTGACTTTTCTGAGGCAGCCATAGCCAAAGTGGCTCAAAACATCAAAGTTCATGCTCAGGTAGAAAATCCAACAAAGTTCAGTCAGGTCATCTGGACGGTTTCTATCTATCCATCCATTATCTTTACCCGCTTCTTCCTTTTTGGGTCACGGAGGTCACTTGTGCCCATATCCAGCTATCCCTGGATGAGATGGTTTTCATTGTCTTTTCTTTTTTTTGTTGTTGTTGAGATGTTTCATCCTTCATCCAAAGGACTTCATAGTATGAGGAGCCACAACAAACTCAGTCCCACAAGCAGCAAACTCACATAGTGGACAAACCAGTTTGCTGGTGATAAGATGGTTTCTGGGGCTCGCTCTCTCCTCCGTCGACTCCGCTGAGGCAGCCATAGCAAAAGTGGTTCAAAACATCAAAGTTATAAAAAAAATATCCACTACGTGGGTTTGCTGCTTGTCGGACTCCGTTTGTTGTAGCTCCTCGGACTGATGAAGTCCTTTGGATGAAGGACGAAATGCCTCAACCAAAAAAAAAAAAAAAAAACTGTCCAGATGAGCTGACTGAACTTTGTTGGATTTTCTACCTAGATTATTGAGCATGAACTTTGATGTTCTGAAACACGTCAAATAATATTTGCAAACATAATCAGGACAAACTCACCCAGAGAGATTTGCTTATGGTGTAGGAGGCCAAGCAGTAAGCTCCAGCTGCCAGTATAGATGGGGTGAACTGCAGGAATGGATCGATTTCCAGCAGGCTTAAATCTGATATGTACTAGGAACAGAAAATGCATGTTTAAAATAAATAAATAAAGATTGAACCCTTTCACTTTCTCACTGATGGAATGCATACCAGAGCAAGGCTCTCTGTGTTTGGACAGATGGAGTGCACGGACATGAAGAGGTGCAGGAACTGGTTTGTGGTGGGCGCTGACATTCTGAAGGCCAGCATCCTGATGAACACGTTCTCCATCCGAACCAGTTGTTTCTTAGTGTACGTGAAGTCTGTGATGTACACAAACTCATTCAGCTCAGGTGGAAAGAGATCCTCATACTTTCTGTAAAGTGAGAAGATAAATTAACATCCATAGTGTGAACTCTTTGTTTCCTGTTGATAGTGTCTTCAGTACATTTCTTTGGACTCAAGCTACTTCTGTTTACTTGTACTATTTTAACCGTTACAAATAAATGTGAAACATTTGGCTTTGTTGGGAACAGAGTGCTTTAACTTTTAGCATTTGTAACATTTATACTTTTGTAATTATTTAAATTTTCTTTGAAAATTTCCCTCATAGAATACAATGAGATATTTTCTGATTCTTCAAAAATAAAATTCTCAAAAATCGACATTAGCATAGTTTCTGTTTTTCTTTTCTTTAGCTTCTATTGGCCTGCTCACTTATGCTTTTGGCTACAGTTTGGTTGATTTTAGCTTTTACTATTTTGCAGATTTGAGCTTTTAGTTACTCTTTTGCTATATTTAGGATTTAGCTGCAGTTTTATGAATTCTAGCTTTGTACTACAGTTTAGCTAGTTATTATTATTATTGTTTAGCGTAGATCCTTGTATACAGTTTCTTTTTTTAATACTTTATATTTTTTTGCTATTTTTGGGTGTAACTGGGACCTTGAGTACACAATTTCATTCCACCACATGTACCACATGTGATGCGAATGACAATAAAGAACCTTGAACCTTGAGTTACAGTTTTGCTCATTTCAGTTTTTAGCTACTATTTTGTCAGTTTTGGCATTTTGATAATGTTTTGTTCATTTTAGCTTTTAACAACAGTTCTGCTATTTTCGGTTTTTGGTTGTAGTTTTGTTGACGTTAGCTTTTAGCAACTGTTATGCTGATTGTAGCTTCTGTTCTGCTTATTTAACAATAAATTTGAGCAGAGTCTCAGCATTTTTTCCAGAAAATTTCATTAGTTATGAATCCTAAAATCAGTGCAACACCATATCCCTTCAAAACATTAATGATTCGGTGATAAGCAACATGACAAAATTGCAAGCACACTCATATTCTTACGCAGCAATCAGTAACGCTGCGGTCCCAACCAGCTGCAGCTTGCCCTGTTTGACAAAAGCCGTGCAGGACAGAAAACGGTCCAGGTAGTTGACGGCGAGGTGCAGAGTTTCAGAACTGAGCTTATATTCCTGAACGACTTCAACCAGCCAGTCCACCAGAATGACCCGCATGCCGCTGGTGATCTCTGGGTGTCTCTCCAGGTAATCAGGCTTTGCCCTGAACTTTTTCTGGAGTTAAAACCAAAGCAGCAACCAACGTGAGCAGGCAACACATTTAATCTGACAGAAACTGACTAGAAACAAACACAAAAACCACTCACTTCACTCTTCCTCATGTTCTGGTGAATATCTTCAGCATAATCAGTAAATAACTTCTGCTTTGACATGAAGGATTCATTAGAGTCTGACAGCAAAGACACGTCCTGGCATGAACCTGCAGGAGTAAACGGTGAGAAGGTTAAAAGCTTAGTTTAAAGCGGTAAATTATTTTGTGCAGATTACGCTCACTCGACGTGAGTTCCAGCAGGAGTTTCATGTGTTCACTCTGCAGAGGATCAGCTTCAGCACTGAGCTCATAACTGTCTGAAACAACTTCTTGACCAGACGCTGCAAGAACGACCTCACAAGCCTCCTCAATGTACACATCGTAGCTGGAACTGGACCGACAACCAAACACGTTCACTTGTGAGCTGTCTGAAACTGAACTCTGTCTGGAAAACTGGCTTCCCTGAGGAGAACACATCAGGCAGCATGATTATCAAACTGATGCTAAAATACAAAAAAAAAAATTCAATGAGCTTTTTTTTTTAGTCTAAGTGACCTGCCTGGCTCATGGATCGACCACGATGATCATTTTCTGACAAAGCGCCGAGGACTGTTCGTTGTTTGGTCCTCGGGTGCTGAAATGCATCCGTTTTGGCTGAAGGTGGGATATTTTCTTTGCAAGCAGGACTGCCATGATGGCTGTTAGTGTTGAAATTCATCTATAAAACAAGAAACGACAAAATATCAGTTGTGTGCCTGAACATGTGGTGTTTGTGACTTCTCCAGTTTCTTGAGTTAATTTTTGATGCTGTTTACTATTAGGAACTATCAAAGCAGGACAAAATCATTCAGCCTGTTTAATTGTTTGAAAAAATGCACAACGCAATTAACACATCCAAATGCAGCTAACTCCAACTAATAAAAATAAAACACACATATAACTTTATACTATTCATATTAAAAATGATAAACTGGAGCCTGACCAGTTCATTGGTGACTTTGCTTGCTGTTGGAATGAAACTTTTCAGCATCATGCTGGATCTGGAATGAAGGCTGCGATACCTTTTCCCAAATGGCAGGAGCAAGAACAGGCCGTATGGCAGTTTGATGTGTTTTTTATTTTTATTTCATGCAGTGACGACAGTGGGCACCAATTATTCTGCTGGCTATTTCTATAGTGCACACAGCTTTCGAGGCTTCCAGCGAGGCAAGCGCTCGTGGTAGATCATAGACAACATGAACCTTAACATCAGTTCATATAATGTACGGGGATGGGCATGACGAAGCAGATAAATCTCGCCACCTTGTTGTTAACAAACTTTTAGAAACCTGTGATATACTATGTGTGCAGGAGACTTTTTTTGTCTAGACAGGACTTGGAAAGGTTCAACTCTGTTCATAAAGACTTCTATGGAGCAGGGGAATCCACCACTGACTGTTGTGATAGGACACTCCGCAGCAGAATCCCTGGTGGTGTTGCGGTGCTTTGGCATAAGAAGCTTGACCAGCAAATTAAAGTGGTCAGGCTGAATGTTGACTGGGCAATAGGACTCGAGTTCTGTGGTGGGGATAAAACAATCACCATACTGAACATGTATACTCCTTATGAGTGCTCTGAGAATGAATTTGAGTATTTAAACAGACTGGCCTATATTATGGCGTACATACAGGAACATGCAGTAAGCAGCATTTTCACTGTGGGTGATTTGAATGCTGATCTCTCAGACCAAAGGTCTACGTTTGCAAACCATTTACAGCATTTCTGCTCAGATAACGGTCTCTCTATCTCTCCGGTGAATTACTTCTGCCAAGGGACAGCTACACTTACATTAGTGAGGCATGGCATACCACCTCCTGGTTAGACCATTGAATTTGCACCAGTGATGCTCATAACACCATCAAATCCATGAGAATTAATTATGACTTATCCACACATGACCACGTGCCCTTGTCCTTCTCTATAAATATGGACAATGTGCCATCTCTTACATCTGTAAACTGTGATATGCATGAAGTAAAAATTAGTTGGTCCACTTTAACGGAAAGGGACAGTCGTACATATCTCACCCAGAGCGAGACCAGGTTGAGTAACATTGAGCTGCCTAAATCTGCTGTAACGTGCACTGATATCAACTGTCAGAATCTGCAACATAGAATCGAACTGTGCTCACTGTATGATAAAATTGTGGATTATCTCCTTATCTCAGCTCAACATCTGTCTAAGATTAAGAAATATAAAGCTAAATTAGGCTGGAAGGAGTATGTTGAGAAGTTTCATACTGAGGCAAGAAGAGTATTCAAAGCCTGGGTTGAATCAGGCAGACCCAGATGTGGTCCTCTGTTAATATGAAGGAAGCAAATTCAAACTTTAAATATGCCCTACGCTTCATTAAAAGACATGAGAATTCTCTCAGGGCTGAGTCACTGGCAAGAAAACTAGAAAGTAACTGCCCTACAGATTTCTGTAAATAAATTAAAAGAGTGAATGATAAAAAAAAAATGTCTTTACCAACACATATTGATGGTGTGAGTGGAGCAAGGCAGATTACTGAACTATGGCAGAAACATTATCATGATATTTTTAATGCTGTTAAAAGTAATTCATTTATTTTTGGAAATATTGATAGTAATGAAAATGTGGTTGTGTCCCCACAAGAAGTCTTTGAGATTGTAATGAAGCTGGATAATAACAAGGCATGTGGGTCAGATAGAGTATCTGCTGAGCATCTAAAATATGAACTTTACCCAAGAACTTTACATGGCTGATGCTATAGGTGTACTACCAGTGGTCAGCGATGAATGATGCTGATTACCAATCCTCCTAAAACCAGTCACAATCTCCTTCATTTTCACTACATTTAAGTAAAGTTTGTGTGAGCTGCATCACAATGTTAAGCACCTTACTCCTTTATGCAAATTCATAATGGTTCCTTGTTAACCCCACCACTGTCCTGTTGTCTGCAAATTTGATGATTTGGTCAGTGTTAGAGAGGAGCAGAGCAGTCATGGAAGAGCAGACTGAACAGAAGGGGACTAATGACACAGCCTTGAGGAGACCCTGTAGTCACTGTAATACTTTCAATGTGCAGCTGTCCACCCTGACCCTCTGCTGTCTCTGAGACAGGAAGTTGAATAACCAGATGCACATGACTGAGCATCCCCAGCAGCCTCAGCTTGAATGATGGTAAATGCAGAGCTAAAAGAAGGTGTGCGTTTTTCTCCTCCAGATGTGATGGAATGATGGAGTACAGTGGAGATTGCATCTTCAATGGTGCAGTTGGCTCTTTATGCAAACTGGAGAGGATCTAAGACAGGGAGGTTATGCTTGATGTACGGCAAAACAAGCCACTCAAAATATTTTATGGTTACAGGTGATAGGGCAGTAGGCTTTCATGCAGGCTAGGTTGCACTTTTTAGGCACTAAAATATTAGTAGTGATTTTGAAGTAGATGAACACAAGACTTCAAACAGACAGTGCATGAAATTCATTCAGTCTATCTGGGAATGCTGGGTCATTGTACATAAGTATTTATTAATATAACGTTCCGTGTGGACACATTATGTGAATTGCAAAAACAGATTTTCATGTAGTAAATAATTGTTATCCTGTAGCATATGTAACAGTTTTGTTCGTGTACAATGTCTTGATTTTTGACATTACGGTTGTATTTTTTTCTGTTATGAATAGTAACCAAATGGCTTCATTTCATCTGTTTAAAAAATAATAAGTTAAAACTTCTTCTCAGTTTAGATGGTGTAGGAACACATTACCATGGTTACAGGAACTGATCAGAAAGTATCAGAAACATAAAATTAGACAAAGGAACAATAAAAAATAAAAAATAAAAGATCACATTTAAGAAATGTGCATCATTTCAATGCAACAAAGTATGTTGTAATGCTGAAAAGTAAACTCACCATAATGGACATCAAAGTTGTCACCAGATTAACGAGTCAGTGCAGAAACAGTATAAAAATCTGTTCATTCTCATAAACAAACCGAACAAAACGTCTGTTTGGTACCAGATTAGACCAGGTGCGCCCTCTGGTGGCCTCTGGGAGACTTGCAGCAGATTCCTGGACAGGTGGTGAACTGTTCCCGGAGTTCCTGGTTACTTTCATTAATCAGCTGTTTTCTCAAGGTGACCTGACCAATCAGGAGCCAGAGCGCACGCGCTCACTGCACACGTCACGTCGATGGCAGAATGATGTTGAGAGTAAAGAGGAATAATACACTTTTATTTCTTGACTATTTTTAAACATACCAGCCAGAACAAACAAACGAGAAGCTTTGTACAAATTAAAGAGTTAAATAATAAATACTTTAATATGATAATATTAAATGAAAACAAAATGGTATATATTAAAACTATTTTATTATCCTATGATGTGAGAGGTCAAGTCTTAAAAAAAAGAAGTTATGCACTATTTTATTCTAAATCAGCATTTGTTGTGTAGGACTCTCAGCTACTACCACCTCAGGTCACATCTGGATCCAACTCGTGGAAATAAAAATTAACGACAACTGTAAAAAATAAATAAATAAATAAATAAAATGTAAAAGTTTTGTACGACTTTATTCTTGTACTTTTACGACTAATCTCATAATTTTATGGCTTTTTTTTTTCTTACCGTGGCAATGTAATTTATTATTTATTTATTTATTTGTATTTAATTGCGTGGCCCTAAAAGCTCCGTCGTCAATAAGAATTTTATTGCTCAGAGTAACTTCCAGTTGTAAACACTTTGAATTGAATTGAAATTCTAGCTCAATTTCCTTAAATTTTTTTACTGAATTATATCCACTTTGTGATTTCTAAAGTCAGTTGGCTGACAATAGAAATCGGTTATTCATTTTTATACAACAATAAGTCATGGCAAAAATGTACACAAATAGCACAAGCTATTAAATATGTGTTGGGAACATCTATCACACCAAATTGCAGGCCACTATCAAACTGACTCAGTTATAGATGAGCTGAAGCTTATAACCTTGTTGCAAAGTTAAAAAAAATCCATTTTTTCTTATTTTATTCGATGCAACATATGTAATTAGCTTTGTATCAGTTTGGCACATCTAGATCACCATCTCTGTTTGTTTTCCTGCTTCCATCGCTGGCAAATAACTTTAGATTCATATCTAATATTTGTGTTTGGTGCTCTAATTAAAGCAAAGCTAATTCTTATGTAAGAGTTTGCTGGAATAAACTGTGCAAGCCTGTGCTGAAGCTACAAAATCTGTTCTTCGTTTTGATACAAAAATAAAAAAAAGCACTAAATTGCTTTAAGTTTTTTATTCTTCCTAAAATGAGGCTATCATAGGTCTTTGAATTTGTTTAGTTGTTTGTCCACCAGTTCATTTTACAGAGCTTATAGTGAAGATATTAAACAAAAATACATGCACTTGTTTCAACAAAAACAATGTAGCCAGAGTCACAACTATTTCAGAAAATAAAACATTTGTATTTATTTGCTGTAATCCAACCTTGGAATGTGTAATGAGAAATATCTGATCACTTTTAAACTAATCTGTCAAGAGACATTCAACAAAAAACATGAATCATATAAAACATCTTTTGAAAGAAAAAATAAAATATATTAAAAAAGTCTATAAAGCAAATAAAAACCATTCAAAACGTTAAGGTACAAATGCCTGCATGGTCGATAATACCCACTAGGTGGCAGGCTTTCTCTGTGGGAATAATGAAGCGCAAAATCA